TATTGACCCTGGAGGGACGATGGGCTGAGTCGACCCCAAAGCAGGCCGTGGAACTCGCAACCTTCTGACCGCGAGCCACTCGCTCTGCCGCTGACCCACCTGGCAAGATATTTAATCTTGATTTGAAGCTTTCGTGACTGCAAGAATCCATACTTTTTAGTTATTTCGGTAAAGTCACTTTGGTAGAAAATCAAATAAATCCACGACGTTGCGCCCGAAACGTCGTGATTTATTTTATTCTATACCAAACGTGACTTTACCGAAAGAACCAAAGAGTAAGATATTTAATCACAAATATTATTTGATTTACAGTCATTTACACCACTGTTGAGTGAAGGCCTCCCCATACCGTGTAGATCACGGGGGTTGTGTGACCGTGCTTTGCTGTGCTGGTCAGTGCGGTTTGCTGAAGGCCTGGCAATTTGGCATTTTGCCCAATGAAAAGCCTCCACGTTCAGAAAATTACTCGTACATTTCACACATAGTTAAAGGCGATGGTCGTTGTATGCTATTCCCGTGCCACGTATGGATTGCCTCTGTGTAAGGTTTACACGTCTTTATACTTCACACCTGCACACTTTGGGGAATTCGCGCAGGAGAAATTAGAGAGATCTTAGAATTAAATAAATATAATGAGACAATAGAAGACTGCAATGTTCAACCAGATGCCTTTCATTGCATTTTTTTACATCTGACGCTTTAACACAATGAGACAGGTACTGCTGCTATATTCGTTTCAACTCGGAAATGTCATTTTTAACATTTAGAAGCTTTTATTATTACAATTGAATGTCACCAAAATAGGGTGAGATGTGAAATGCCATACGTCCGTGCCATGGTGCCATACGAAGCGTTCCACCAAGTGTAGCCTTCATTGACAACAATCAAAAGATCAGTTTGAAAAAAACAATGATAATACACATTTAAAATTCCGAAGCAACTGAATTAATTTAATACGAACGAATAAAAAAAATAATGTGGCACGCACATAATATTTATTTTTGTCACAGGTTTGTGAATGCAATTGGATGTGGTTACAGTGAACTAATGAACGTGGTTCCTCTTCTTGGTTCTTTCGGTAAAGTCACGTAGAAGGGAAGTAATAAAATATTAAAAATAAAACATAATAAAATAAAATAATTCTCACGACGTTTCGGCTACAACGCAAGCAGCCGTCTTCAGGTGAAGAATGAGACAATGCCAAGCTAGGAGCTTATATATAAGCTGCGTTGAAATTGAACGTGGTTCCATTTTGACAACCGCAGCTTTATCTTCTTGGTTCTTTCGTTAAAGTCACGTAGAAGGAAAATAATAAAATAATTAAAATAAAACAATAAAATAGTTCTCAGAATTAGTATTTTATTATGTTATTTTTATTACTTTATTATTATTTCCCTTCTACGTGACTTTACCGAAAGAACCAAGAAGATGAATCCCTGCAGTCACGAAAGCTTTAAATCGAAATTTAACCGCAGCTTTGTCTGGGATTCACTCCACGTTGAGCAGACGCCGAGCCCGACTCTCGTTCACCCGAGCAAATCCAGCACGCGCTGCTGCTGTTTCTTGCTGTTTGTTGCTGGTGTTGTGCAACACTCGGGGGACTCCGCGGAGCTTGAGCACCTTGGCATATCCCCCAGGGCAGGCTCCCAGCCGAGAATAGACGACGATCGAGCGTGGGTTTTCTCTGAGTACGTGCTTAGAATTCTAACAAAGACAAAGATCCCCCATAAGGGGGCGACAGACTGTTGGGGCAAGTGCTGTTTAGCGAGCAGCTATGAAGGTTGGCACCGCGCACGAGGTGGTGGGTGGGTCAGCGCCACGCCCGGCCGCCTTTGTCTCCCCAGTGGCGAGGCCCAGTTCAGATAATTGCCAGTGGTGTTGGCCGTGAGCGGGAATTGAACTCGGGTGGCCTGGGTTCGGAGTGCAGTGCACTGACCGCTCCCGCACACACTTTGAATTCTTCCCACGTACATTCGCTCATGAATGGAATCGGCCAAACAATCCCTAAGCGTGATGCTCGTGAAAAAAACCCAATAGGTGACGCTTGCTGAGGCTATTAAAAAAAAGAAATTTTACTATCGTTCGTGTTATCATCACAACTGTGTTGAGTGTATGACAGGCTGAACGCACACAGGCAATGTCGGATGTCGTATTGGGAGAACATTCAAACACAAAATTGGGCCTTCGTAAAGTTGAGCAACACCGCCACCTCGTGGACGTAACAAGTGCACAATGTTGCTGTGCACAATAATACAAACACATTCCTGCGGAGGGAGCTGGTAGGAACGTTGGGTTGCTCGGTCAATGGCCAGGGTCAACGGCGGCGTGGTGTATTCCGCAAATATGCCCGACTGTGAGGGCGGGCACAAGCCGGCGTGAGTAGGTTAAACGTTGAGTTTTATAAGGGCACCACAGGGTGACCAGCCCCTCCCACCCCTCACCCAGCCCCACCCTCCCCACCCAGCCCCTCCCCACCCTCCCCACCCAGCCCCTCCCCACCCTCCCCTCCCCACCCAGCCCCACCCTCCCCTCCCCACCCAGCCCCTCCCTCCCCACCCAGCCCCTCCCCACCCTCCCCTCTCTACCCAGCCCCACCCCTCCCATTTTTGGATGCACGACGGACGGACGGACACAATAATCCCCTGTGGGCTGGTGTAACCAGGAGGTTCCTACCAGTATTAGTTGAAAACGTCGTGGGCTTTCGCGACCAATATGAAACATAAGAGGTTGTTGGGTTAGATCGCGTAAATATAAATGCGTCGTTAAACCCTCCACCACCCGACACAGCCAATTAGCAAGGTTTGTCACGGACACAAAACGTGCCAATTCGTTACGAGTTCAGCACACCGGTGTGTTGGAGAGTAAACCCACCACAACATTTACAATTGGAGAGTAAATCTGGCTATGTTCAATTGAGCTGAGAGTAAACCCACAACATTTACAATTCGAATACAAATTGTAAATGTTGTGGGTTTACTTTACAACACACCGGTGTTGCTGTACTAATAACGAACTGGCACGTTTTGTATACGTGACAACCCTTACTAATTGGCTGTGTCGGGTGGTGGAGGGTTTAACGACACATTTTATATTTACACGATCTAACCCACAAACCTCTATTATGCACATTAATAATTGGCACTGCCATACCTGTCAACCCATACGCTTTACTCATATTCTTGTCCAGGGAAATTGAGTTTTAAGATCCATACGGCGTACAGCCGTTTCAATCCGGGCAACATTTAAAAATAAATATCTATTTGTTTGTGTTTCTCCCTTGTGATGGGACTTTGTAGAATGAACGTTGAGATGTATAAGGGCACGGGGTTGTTGTGAGTGACCTCTGAAAATGTGGTGTTCTAATGAAGAAAAACCTCGTCATGTTATTGGCTTTCCCGTGAAGGTGATATAACTGGCTTATCTACCAATGGTAAACATTTAAAAAAATGAAACAAAGCACTCAAATGCCGTCTCCATGACCCTCAAGTCCACATTACACACCTTATTTGACACTGCCAAAAGCCGTGACCTGCTACATTTTCACAGCGCAACCTCACGTCGTGACATCGTCTCATTACAGCCACGGGCGCCTTTTTCACCGCCCTGAATGGGTTTCAAATGTCGTGGCCAAAATGCGAAGCGAATCACAACGAATGAAGGGAAATCTATCACTCGAACGCCTTCACAGCCGCCCCGAGACTTCCCCGAGGCACAGATGTGAACAACTAAAAATGTTATCTTCATTAGGCAATTCACGTTGAAAGAATAATTATAATTAACTTTTTTAAACGCAAAAAAAACTACTTGCAGAATTTTTTTTATTAGAAAAATAATTTCTCATCTCCAGCTGCTTGATGGGGCGGTGCCCTAACGTCCCTTAGTGTACGAACCGCGCATTTGATCAGTCTTGTATCTGTACAACGGCGCCGCCGCTGATGACTGCTGTGTAGCAAACGCTGCCCCCTCGCGAACGCACGTGGGCACAAGAACAACCGCCACTTCAATCATTCTCTTGTGCTGCATAGCTGCATAGCAGCAGCAGCGGTAATATTGGTCAGGAGCTTAAAGAGCAACGTCGAAAGTCTGCTGCTCGCCACGACGAGATGGCTTCAGCAAAGAGAGAGAGATATCGTGTCGTTTTGCTGTTCCTCCTCCAATAAAGCCACGCAGAAAACATTGATTTACAAAAAAAAAGATATTTATAACGCGCTAGATTTTGCAGACAAGTCAAACACTCGGAGGAGCTAAGCCAAGCTCAGGGCTCCTCGAACGCCTGACCCAAACAAGATAGATAGAGACCTTGAGATGTTTCTTAAAGGTCAAGAGTGCGTTCGATGTTACAGATGTGCAAATGGATGGAGAGTTCCACACCGAGGAGACGACAGCAGAGAACCGTCGATCATGGGGACCGTCGGCTCCATTTAATGTGGCCCGATAATAGAAACACGTTTAAGAGGATGAAGTTTCAGGCAATGACCCTTCAGCAGAGCAAAGGAGAGGTCATAACATCGGCTGATTTATATTTGGAGATTTCGCTCTACGTTTGTGTTGCTGTGCGAAAACTGATTATTTCAATTCAATACACGGGTATTTTTTTTGCGTAACAATATTTTAATTGATTCATTGATACATGTATGACATTCCGACTGTGTTTACATATATGTTTAATTAAATAATAAAATAACGGCATCGACCGGAAAATCCCTTGAGATGGAACATGTTGCTTGCCAGGGCATCCAGGACATTAATTGACACACACGCGGCAGACACGCAGAAGGCACGTGTGCTAACACGCGTGTATTTGTATCCCGGTGCACGTCTTGAGTATGTGTGCGTACGTGCGTTCTCGTCTCCAGCCCTCTTCCCTCCCCCCCCCCTCCGCCCCCCCCCCGGCTTGTGTGGCATTCAGAAACACGAGGCTTGCTCACGCTCGCGCTAACCCGGGCCGCCGTGCCAGAAATCACCGTTACCCAGCGGCCTCCATCACCCAGCGGCCCCCATCACCCAGCGGGGGAGCCGGGATCAAGCGGGATACATTTATGGAGGCGTCTGGGAACGGAGAACCTGAGCGGACGAACAAGAACACAGAAATGCAGGAGCTTTACGGATGAAAATATTTAAAATCTTGCTGACTTATAATCGGCTGATATGTATGGGTCTCAGGTGGGTTCTTGAGAGAATTCCCTGACTGACTGACTGGTTTCTCGTGGGGTCTCTAGGCACCAGGCTCAGCCTTGTCGGAATGGGGTGTTGTGAATTTCATCTTTCCAACCGTGAGTTTTGAGCACCCAGTACCACACCCCCCCCCGCCCCCCCTCATCACCATAACCCTAGGAAAGTGTGTGCTTCTTGACTCTGCATCAATGAAGTCTCAATCTTTTCATAGGGGACCTGCCCTGTGACCCTAAACAGCAGCATGAGGGCAACCACGTGGGGGGAGTGAGAACGATGAGAGCGGAGCGCACCCTGGGAGAGATGTAGACCTGGAAGGGCTTGAGCTTCAGGACGATGGCCATCTGCCCGGACAAGTCGGGCGGGCGACCCGCAGGCTGCAAACGCAGCCGGCGCAGCACGTGGCCCAGGAAGAGAAAAATCTCAGCCTTGGCCAGACTCTCGCCCAAGCACACGCGCTTGCCCGCGCCGAACGGCAGCAGCAGCGACGCGGGGTTACGCCTCTCCAGAGGCTCGCCCAGGAAGCGCTCTGGACGATGGACAACATTGGGGGGGGGGGGGGCATCGTCACGACCGTCATTGCCACGGCCAGCGTTGTCAGTGTCGTCGTCGACATGAGCTGCGTTTGGCATCGTTGTCACAGCCACCGTGGTGACCACTGGTGGAGGTGTTGTCTGGTCGTCATCACAATTCTCATAAGCACTACGTGCGTAGGCTTGGGAGTGGTGGCCACGTGTTTTGTAATCCAGCAATGTTGAGGTGTTGTCTGGTCGTCATCACAATCCTCACCATCAGTACTACGTGCGTAGGCTTGGGGGGTGGTGGCCACGTGTTTTGTAATCCAGCAATGTGGAGGTGTTGTCTGGTCGTCATCACAATTCTCACCATCAGTACTACGTGCGTAGGCTTGGGGGTGGTGGCCACGTGTTTTGTAATCCAGCAATGTGGAGGTGTTGTCTGGTCGTCATCACAATTCTCACAAGCACTACGTGCATAGGCTTGGGAGTGGTGGCCACGTGTCCTGTAATCCAGCAATGTGGAGGCGAGGGTTGATAATTTGCACTTGTTTGTGAAGCTCACAAAGGTTTTGGGGCTGTGAACAAGTTGATGGTACACCAATGGATTCTCGAATCTTGAGTGGAGCTCTGATATGTTTTTCTTTCGTACGCATTGTGTTTCTCTTTCCGCATACAGCACCCACACTCATTAATGGAACTGGGCAAACATCCCAATTCAGGAGCATTGTGGTAAAGTCTGGAGGCTAAAGTTGAAACTTTCCATCGCCGCCTTGTGAGCTGTGTTTGATGCGTCCTCTCTCACCTGGCTGGAAGACCGAGGGATTGTCCCAGTAAGAGTGGTCTCGATGAGCCGCCCACAGATTTGCGATGACCGTCGACCCTTTGCAGATGAAGAACCCTCCGACACTGCACCAGGGCAAAGCAATGAACACCGTTGAATTTCGTTTATTTAGCGCCACGATTTGCACATTGTGTCCGTAATAACATAAACATGTTATTTTTTAATATAACTCTACGTTTTCCACCTGGGCTTCTGTTTCAGAAGCACGCTCATTGACGCAAAGACATCAAACAAAAACAGAAAAATGCGCCAAGAAGCGCGGAAGAGATGCAAGGCTGTGAAATGAATGAGCTCACTGTGCATTTTGCGTAGGAAATCACTGTGACTTGACTTTAAAATAGAAAATATTTTTTTAAGTACGCTTATAACGCAGTCAAGATTGTAGTCAAGTTAATTTTGTGGGTGGAAAAATTCAGTGTCAATCGAGTATGTGAACGTGGTTCTGAGGCGGTGGTCATCATTAACATTACAGCTTAAAGGTCTATTATAAAGGTTTTTGGGTTAGATCGCGTAAGCATAAATGTGTCGTAACCCTCCACCACCCGACACAGCCAGTAAGGTGTCACGTAAACAAAACGCGCTAATTAGTTACGAAGGTGCTGCAAAAGCCATGATACTCTCAGAAATTTGAGGAATTTGTCGCCAGCGATTGCCACTGGCAATGCATCAATTATTACCAACTAAGTATGGCAACTTGCTATGATAATGACGCAAAGTGGTGGAGTTCTGTCTAGGCAGGGAGCATGAAGTTTGTCAAATAGTACTGTAATGTGTGTTGATGAATGACAATTGGTCTACAGAGCACACGACCCAGGGTGGTCACGTAACCTCTGCCTGTGATCTAAAGCTGCCACCCCAGTTGCCTTTCCAGGGGGCAGCTGCAGTCGGCAGAAGACGGCCACTTCCTGCCTGCGATGATTGCATTGAAATCTCCATCGCGTACCGTGGCCTTTAACACCATCCTGTGCCATTCTGTGCCATTCACAGCCACCGGTGGATGGATGAAAAGACTCTTTGGTTCTTTCGGTAAAGTCACGTAGAAAGAGAAAATAATAAATTAAATAACAGCATACGACGTTTCGATTGCAACACAAGCAATCATCATCAGGTATAAATGAAAGAGAAAACAAACCTAGTATACTAGGAAATGTAATGCAATACAACACAGAGAGTCGGATAACATAAGAGTCAACACCATACCTGGTTGATTACGTTCTTCCTGAGAATGATAAATTTGAGAGAGAGATAAAACACAGAACCGGAGACATATAGACAGACATATAAGCAGATAGAGATAACACAGAGACACATAGAGAGAGACACACACACATAGGCACACAGAGAAACCACGCCTCTGTGTCGGGGCCTTAAATAGAGAGAGGGGGGATAGAGAAATTAGCATGTCAATGAGTGGCACGGAGCCTACGCAACAACAAAAAATGAGGGGAGACAGAAAAAAAGAAAACACACTAAATCAAATAAACCGAGCAAAATTTCGAAATGTAATGCAATGCAACACAGAGAGTCGGTTAATACACAATTAACGCATAGCCTGGTTGATTACGTTCTTCCAAAGATTGCTAAATTAGAAGTTAAGTGTGAAATTTGAAAGACACATACACGAAAACAGAAACACAAGCAGAGGGGGACAACTTGCTTGTGTTGCAATCGAAACGTCGTATGCTATTATTTAATTTATAATTGTATTTTTATACGTTACTTTACCGAAAGAACCAACGAGTAATTCCTGCAGTCACGAAAGCTCCAAATTAAGTTTGGATGAAACGAGTCGGACGCGTGGCGGAAGGAACTCACGTGGAGTCCCGCAGGGCACGGTGTGGAATCGCGAGCGGAGCCACGGGGCACAGACGCAGGATCTCCTTGATCGTCGCGTCGAGGTACAGAAGCTTGTCGCGGTCCGCCAGGCTCGGGCCCAAACCCGGCTGCAGCTTCTGCTCCATCTCCTCGTAGATCTGGTCTTGGACCTTGCGTGCGTGCGTGCGTGCGTGCGCATAAAATACATATCTATATGTGTGCTATATTCTTAGGGTTTTTTTCGGTAAAGTCAATGTAGGTAAAAAAATTTAAGTTAATAAAAGTAAAATAAAAATAAAATAAAAATCACGACGTTTCGGAGGCAACACAAGCTTCCGTCTTCAGGTGGAACCGTCACAGCACGATAGCTGTATCACTGGTTGTTTTTAATTTAATTTTTTTTACCTACGTGACTTTACCGAAAAAACCTAAGAATATGAATCCTTGCAGTCACGAAAGCTTCAAATCTAGAATATATGTGTGCTGTTGGTCACAAGCTGGTGGTGGATTGCTATGGTGGGGACTGAATCGGTTTATTTTGTAGGACAAAACCACTGTTGGAATCGCACAGCCTCGTAAATTGCTCACTTTACTGACCACAGGTGAGCGATGACGGTGAGGATGTACGAGAAAACTTGGCAGCGAGCGACAAATGTGCACGTGCCCATCTGCCATAACAACCGCACCTCTGGATGGAGCACGAGGTAGGCCAGAGCCCATTCTATGAGCGTCGCCGTCGTCTCGACGCCAGCAATGAACGTGTCCATGATGGATAGGTGAACCCGCTCCTCCGTGAGGCTGCCCCCTCGTGCCTCTGACTCGTCCTCATTTCCCGAGTGCCGCCTCTCCTCCGGTCGTTGCGGCTGATCCTTTGACCTCCTTCTCGGCACCTCTGCGGAGTCGTCCGAGGCGCGCCCGTTCTTTCCATTTTGTGGCTTGGACTCTTCGGATAATTTGTACGTGAACTTGAGGAGGAAGTCGGTCATGTCACTGGACGGTGACGAGCTTGGCTTTGCCTACGAGAGTGAGTGACACACGAGGATAGGATCCAGTTCACAGCTCACATGTAATCCAGCCCCACTGCCAAGCTTCATCGGCAGTTCTAGTCCAGGCTCAGGGCATATCTCTCCAATGTTGCCTACAGCCGATCAGGTCCAACCCGAGGGAGCTGGTGATCAGGATGGTGACTTTGGTGTAAAGCTGCGAGGGTCGCCTAAAATACACAACAGGCTGGTGAATGAAGCCATTTCCACCAAGACGCATCGCACCATCATAGTAAGCATTTGGTACCCTGGCTCCTGAGATGCAGTGGCCATAGAGCCAGGCCTAGGCCTCTCGTGAAAGCTGAGCCTCTGACAAGGGGCAAGGGGATGGATGTAATCTTCTCTGCACCGTGACAGTGTGGGAATTCTTCTGGGCATCACTGTGGTGTGCTCGCATCCCCTAAAAACGTAAGGGATGGTGGTTTTTGTTTTACTCATTTTGGATCTGAAGGGGAAAATGAGTGGGGGGGAGTCATTGAAATGAGATTGCGGGTACCTTGTGCAGAAGTATCTGCCTCCACACGACCTCGTCCCTTTTGCGCACAGCCGCCATGAGGTCTCGCCAGGCCGGGTTTGGAAATAACTGACGAAGCAGTGGGGGGGGGGGGGGGGGGGGGGGGGGCAAATCCAGAATATTTCACTATGTTAATATGAGCGGTAAAATATGAACATTACACTACACAAGTCATTGCATTACACTGGTTGTTTTTATTATTTCCAGCAATGGACCAAACATAGCATGCAATAACATAACACTGAGAAATAGCATCGCAAATGGAATTACCTCTCCAGGTCAACACAATGAACATAAAGAGTTCGTTTCGGAGCAATTACGATTGTTCTGTTTTTTTTAAAATCCAGACCAGAACAGTGACCCAACACAGCTTTCCCGCATTAGCCAGAACATATTTATCGCAATTTCGCCTTCTTAATACCAAGCGCCTAGTTAATCTCCTGGATAATGATACAGATTTGCTGGGTAAAGACCAGATAGTCACGTGTTTGCTTTTTTTTACAATTTTATCACCAAAATTTGATGGAAGCTGCCATCTGCCAACACATGATTCTGCCCCCATTGCAAAAAACTACCAAACGGTAGCAATGTTGTATGTCCATGTGTTGAACTTCTGTCGCACCGTGCGGAGCCATCCGTGCTAATCGGAGGTGCGGGGGGAAATGTTCACACGACCCTGGTGTTGAAATTTGTACAAACGGTGCCAAACCGTGTTGCCATTTGCCCAGTTGGCAATTGACCTCGCGTTTCTACGTTTTGCCCGCATTGCCACCTCAAGCCACCGCGCGCCACCCATTGCCGCGCTCGTACCCGCAACACTGGGAAGCAGTCCAGGGCACGTATGGCGGGTGACCCCCACAGTCGAACGAGGCTGTCGAGGCAGCAGTGAATGTCCAGGAACTCCGTGTCGTGCTTGTCGTACTGTGGAGGGATGGTGACATGGTGACATGATCAGATCGAGCAGCATGGAATGCGTGTGCACTTTGTGGTGTGTGTGCAGTCGTCAGCACAGTGGTTAGCGCTCTGCTCTAGATGATACAGAAAATGTGGGTTCTTGATGGGCTACATCGGGGTTCTTTAACTGCTGGCCCATGGGCCAGATTTGTCACAATGGAACGGCCTACTGAATTGTGGCCCTCCGATAGGTCAGCGAAGTTGATAGTCCAGGGGTCGACTTCATGAATGTTGCTTCTTGCAGAATGAAGAAAGGATGGATGGAAGCGATGGTGAGGTGTGGTGGTATCAACGGTATGGGCTGTGATGAGTTAATGACACATCATTGTGAGTTGGTGTCTGACCCGAGCCTGGACAATCCTCAAGACTGACTCCTTCCAAACTGAGTAACATGTGTGATGCATGGATACCAATTCTGGAGAGATAAACGTGGCTGAGAATGCGTAGTTCTGGCCACAGCATCCTATCATGTGCCGTACTAACGTTAATGTACGCTCGTTTACATCAACTACCTCAAACGGTCCACGAGCTAATTGGGAATCTGTTTTATCCAACATGTTTTGGAAGAGACATGGTATGTTTGTACGTATATTGAACGAACGTGGAATTGATGTGAAGGTAACGACACCTTAGTTCCGAAGGCGATGGAGCAGATAACGTTGCAGACTCGCATCGAGATGTCAGTGTGGATGTCCGTCGGTCGTCCAATGTACTGGGTCAGGTCCTGAATCCGCACAACGCAGGATCAACATTGGGCACTGTCTCTCTCAACAAAGCAACGCAACCCCACGAGTTGGTCAACAGTCCGTGGGAGGGCATTTCACAGCAGTACGTTGGCGATCTCTTCAAGTGACATTGTTCACCCTCGGCCGCAGCGACTTCCGCTCACACCCCGTTGCAAAGTAATGTTTGTCACGTGACAGTCAGACTCAGATGTTTAATTCTCAGAGCTGGACATTGGCCAACTTTAGTTTAAAACCAAATTAAACAGTTTGCTTTTGTGCAGTCGTTGTTTCTCCGGGATGTGACCATCAACTGAGTGCATTTGACAACCCAGTTTATGAACGGGCAGCTGCCTTGATTTTAACTCAGGATCTATGATGTACCTGGCCACTTCTTGTAGAATATGTTAATCCAATACAATTTACAAATCTTTTTTTTTTTACCAATGTTACTTATTTGAGCAAAATTCTAATTGAATGATCAGTGTCTTGAGTAGGTAAAAAAATAAATACTTGTTGAATAATTTATAAATCTATCCAACACATTTTTCAATTCCTATTCATTCTAAAATAATAAACATCACTTGATGATCATCAATCATGATCAATCTACTACTGGGTGAAGACCTCCCAGAAGCCGTCACTATCCCTCACACTCCTGTGATAAAAAATCGCCTGCTGTATATTTGGAGTTTGCATGTTCTCCCCGTGGTCACGTGGATTTTTCTCCGGGTCCTCCAGTTTGCCCGTCCACACTTAGAAACGTGCGTTCAGAGTGTTTGGCCGCTATAAATGTCTACACGATGATAATCCACTTCTTTTCGATTTAAAGTTTTCGTGACTGCAGGGATCCATCTTCTTGGTTCTTTCGGTAAAGTCACGTAGAAGGGAAATAATAAAATAACAAAAATAAAACATAATAAAATAAAATTCTCACGACGTTTCGGCCACAACGCAAGCAGCCGTCCTCAGGTGAAGAACGCTGTCTTTCCGACAGCCCTGTTCTTCATCTGAGGACGGCTGCTTGCGTTGTGGCCGAAACGTCGTGAGAATTTTATTTTATTATGTTTTATTATTTTATTATTTCCCTTCTACGTGACTTTACCGAAAGAACCAAGAAGATAATCCACTTTGTTGCACTATCATCTGTGGCAGCCAGGTACGCTTCTGAAAAATAGCTACATAACTCAGTGGAGCCTTACCTGGTAAAATATAAATAGGTTTGTTTTGTCTTAATCACCCAGCCCGTGCTGCACATGAGCCCGATGCTCGTCGCTCCATCTCCATAGCAGACGTCCTCTCTGGAGCGTTCAACTCCACTGGCTACCATTCCGTTGTCGTTCTCGCACACCGCCCGCCGTGCCGAGCAAGGATGCGTCCTGCCCAAGTCCACTTGTGGCAGTAAATACGATGTATTTGTTCAACTGCATTCACGTATCCCTCTCTTTGCCTCTCAATGGAATCCCAAGCACTCTCCCTGTTTATTTGCCGCACATTTGTGGTTTACCTGGTTGAGTTGGGCTACGTACTGGGCATTTCTTACCTCAAGATTTTGCCACGCACTGCTGTTATAACACCTCCAGGAGCTGAGTAACATTGCCTCGTGTTCGCACTATGCTGTTTGCCTTGCAGTCTTCTGACTCCCATTAAAATTATGGTCGCGCTATTCGGCTGTGGTGAACCTAGGCACGATAACCTTATCCGTAGCGATTTTTGTTCCATCTTCATGATTGTCCCAACGTCGCTCCGAGCAAAAGGGCTCATTGTAAACTCAATTATAAGTCCAGTGTACGGGCCATTTCACCACGGCAGCAACCTATTATAACCAACACCTATTAATTATATATCCCCCGTATAGTCGATTCAGGCTGATGGGCGGAAGTGCCATTAGTGAGCAATTCTAAAGGACGTTGTAACGAGGTGTATTGCCTATTTATTTTCTCACTTAAATTCTCCCCAACGACACTCGAGACTAGTTTGTGTTACGCGTGACCCAGCTTTTGCGTGGAATATTTTATCACTTAAATTCTCCCCAACGACACTCGCGACTATTTTGTTGTTACGCATGACCCAGCTTTTGCACGGAATATTTTCTCACTTAAATTCTCCCCAACGACACTCGCGACTATTTTGTTGCTACGCGTGACCCAGCTTTTGCGTGGAATATTTTCTCACTTAAATTCTCCCCAACGACACTCGCGACTATTTTGTTGTTACGCGTGACCCAGCTTTTGCACCGAATATTTTGTCACTTAAATGCTCCCCAACGACACTCGCGACTATTTTGTTGTTACGCGTGACCCAGCTTTTGCACAAAACTCCCTCCCCACATCCGACAGAGTCCCCTGTGCCATTCAGCATGTGTGCGAACGAGCGAGCGAGCGAGCGTGCCGGGCAACTTAGCCATCGCTCTCTCACCTCCACCAATCTCCGCGCCTCGCCCTGCACGATCTCCTCCGTGCGCGCTGTCCCCACGCAGTGAAGGGCGCTGAGCGCGGCGCGCCGCTGCCTCCGCCACACGGCCGAGTAGTCGCCCAGCGCAATGTCCTTGCCGCCGCCGGTGATCTTGCCGCCTGCATGCAGGGCAGAGGTCGCAAACGGGTTTTGATTCCTTACCCGTACCCGGCCGCACCTGGGTCGCAAACAGGTACCCGTACCCGGCCGTACCCGTACCCGTACCCGGCAGCTAAATTGTGATTACATTTAGTTGTTTTCACTTTTTTTTTTTCACCTACGTGACTTTACCGAAAGAACCAAAGAGTATGGATCCTTGCGGTCACGAAAACTTCAAATCTAGAACAGTCACATTGTAATATTATTGTTATTATTTGTTCATGTTATTCACGTTTACTGTTTATTTATCTTGTAAATTCCTCGCCGACTCTCAAGACTCTTTGTCAAGAGGTTCGTGAACAAGAGATGAGTACCCGATTGCGACCTCTGGGATGAAGCCATGTTGCAAGCGCGGGAGGGTTGATTCTAGGAACTTGAATTGTGAGAAGAGACAAGACGTTGGGAAATGAGTGACAAACGGTGACTCACCAGTGACTCACGGCCTACCCGTACCCATACCCGGCCGCACCAGGGTCGCAAACGGCTATCGGGTAGGGTACGGGTATCGGGTACCCGGTTGCGACCTCTGATGCAGAGGCTCGCGCGCTCGATCTCCGTGCTCTGTGGTCGTTGGCAGTTGTTTCGTGTTCGTTTTTGTTTTGGGTTTTCTTAATCAAGAGGCGAGCGGTGGTCTCATTCGCAAGAGTGGGCTGGGTGGAGGGGGGGTTTGTCCCCAAATTTATAAAAGTAGTAACCCAAGTGCCAACAATGAAGCGGATAGAATTCCGAGCAACAATAACTACTCGATAAAACTCCAAAAAATAAGCAGCCAGATTAGAGTAAAATCAAGCATGTTCGAGAAAAAATATGTCATTGAAAACAATCGACGAAAATCAGCAGCATTGAATGAAATAAATGTCCCATAACAAAGGTTGTCTCCAAAAATCCCTTTTGTGTTGAACCTCACCGGCGTAGGTCTGTGGCCTTCCGGCGAAGTCGGCTGATTTCTTAATGAGCATCTCCTTGATGGACTCGACGTTGTTCAGCACAACGATGTCTTGGGAGGGGGGGGCGAGGGAGGGACGTTAAATTGCTGCATCATGTTAATTGGTTCTTTACCCTTCTATCTGGCAACAAAACTGACACCTTTGCTGCATCATGTTAACGTGCATACTCTGGCTTGCAGGACAACAACACCCATTGCATGTGATGAGACCCCCATACTCACAAACAATCGGTCGTAAATAGATTATTATTCCAGCAACGAATTGACAAGTCACATTCTCTTTGTTTCTTTCGGTAAAGTCAAGTAGGTTAAAATAATAGTAAAATAAAATAAAAAAGTGGAACAACTAAATTAATCACAATTTAGTTGTTTTAACTATTTTATTTTATTATTTTCACCCACGTGACTTTACCGAAAGAACCAAAGAGTATGGGACCTTGCAGTCACGAAAACTTCAAATCTAGAACAGTCACATTGTAATATTATTGTTATTATTTGTTCGTGTTATTCACGTTTACTGTTTATTTATCTTGTAAATTCCTCGTCGACTCTCAAGACTCTTTGTCAGGAGGTTCCTGAACAAGGGATGCATGGCCAAATTCCATGAATCAATGAGAGTTTGGCGCTCACGCGGAAAAAAATCCCACACGTGTGATGGACTCACGCTCACAGCTCGGCGCAGGATTTAAATACCCATTTATCTGCTGGCTCCAACCCCCACCTCTACCTTGACTCCTCTCGTACCTTCTCCGCCGACACGCAGGCAGTACACAGGACCGTACGTGCGCGCCAGCTGTGTCAGGTGAATGTGCAGATCCGTCCTGGCCATGTGCGCAACGTTTCCCAAGAAGGGCAATCCCGGAGGTCGTGGAGGAGAGGGCCATTCGGTCGCTCTGGGCTGGACGTACTGGAACACCCCCCATCTCCTCGCCAGCAACAGCAGAGACAGAAGCACAGTGATGGCTGCGCACAGGGCCAGCGGCACCAGCATGGGGGCGGCTCTCGGTCGCTCTTCTCAAGGCGGTGATGTCTCAACTCGCTCTTGGCGACGGTGGCGAGAGTCAACGGCCGTTGCGTTGTTGCGCTGTGACTCGCCTCCCACCAAATGCCCAATGTGCAATGTCCACCTCTGGGTGGAAAACAGGAGTTGAGCGCTTGTGACGTTGACTCTTTTTCTCCACAGCACTGTGTTAGTATTCCGACCGTGCGTTGCAAAATCGCACTCGTCTCAAATAAAACGATTGGCTCTGCGAGAGTGCGTTTATATTGCCTTCTGACATTCCAAAAAAAATTACACCCACGCTATTTTGTTTTCTTCATTTTGTTATCAATGCTCTGTCCGTGAAACGGGAACATTGCTCGGGGGGACGTTCTTCTATCTGCGTTCTCACTTGTTCCTTAAATTAAATTGTTATTTCTCCCTGCTGCAACTTAGCCGCATTTTGCAGCCAATTTTCCAGGAATCGACGAGTCGGAAGAGATATGATAGCACATGCTATTCTAAAACAAACTTGGCATTGTGGAAACTTTTAGTGTACCCTTTTACGTGCAGTCCCAGCAGTGATAACATGTCAGAACTTCCATGCAGCAGTAGCCTTGAGTCTATTTTAAAGTAAAAAAAAACGTTGAAAGAGGAGAAAAAAAATATATAGAATTTACATACGTGATGGATGTTGAAACATACTCCCAAGTGAAAAACAATCACGAACGCCATAGCCATACATATGCTTGGCGTGGCTGGGAGTCGTGTGACTTGGCGTGCACACTAAGGATGTAAAAAATTTGTGAAGATTAAGATAAAGCAGACACCCCATTCTTCTCATCCCTTGAAATAAAAGAATTCCTCACACTTAGAGTAAAAACAAGCATCCCGTATCTGCATTTCCCATAAATATGCTAAATTCCTCTTGATATGCAAATTCTTTTGTCAAGGCGCTCTTCCCCCTCCAACCCAGCTTAAATATACGCTCCAAGCGTGGTGGTGTTTCATTCAGACGCTGTCTCCCCGACAGACCTGGTCTTCACCTGAGGACGGCTGCTTGCGTTGTGGCCGAAACGTCGTGAGAATAATTTTATTATGTTTCATTTTTATTATTTTATTACTTCCCTTCTACGTGACTTTACCGAAAGAACCAAGAAGATGAATTCCTCACACCTTTTCACTCGACCTGGTCGTGTGCTGGGATAAAGCCACTCTCTGGTGTGAGATTTTGACAAAGCACTCAGCTCAGACAAAACGCGCCTTGTTTGAGTTGTTATTGATGCTCGCTGCACCCCGGACATTGTGTACACAGGTGAGAGACACGGAAGGGAGTCTTGACAAAAGGATTTCCCGGAAAACCGTGCCCAAGCGCAGGCCTCAGATTAGCACGGTTGGCTATGTACTGTGCATAAGAAGTTCAACATATACGTGCGTACGACCGGGAGGCTGTGGAGGTAACACACACGTAGGAGATGTATGACCCGGTCATTATGACGCTTTGTTTACCGTGACGGAAAACTCAAAATGGTTCTGAGATTTTTTAATGTTTTTTTTGTAAAGGAGTTAATTTAATGCCACCTATTATGATAACTGAAACATCCCAATGCAGAGCACAAACTCAGTATGCTTGGTCACGGAGCATTATGGGTAAAAGCAAATACATAATCTGATTCTGAAATACAGTATTAGTAGAATTCCATTGTGTCACTCCATTTTAAACAAAAATCTGCTTCATGCCAATGTCCTATTGGCTTTCCAGACAAATATCCAGCAGCATTCGTTTACGCAAGCAACCCCAGCACTGGTTTAAACCTTTGGGTCTCCTCAACATAATGAGGTTCATTAAATCAACGCTGATAGATTTTCAGATAGGATGAGAAGATCAGATGTCATTATTTGCAAGAGCTCTCCCAAAAAGGTCCTATAATTACCGTCAGTGTTTTACTTAATTTGGCGAGTTGTGAGAATTATTAACTGTGTTGGTTTGACTTCCGCGCGATGATCATTTATCTCCCTCTCTCTCTCTCCAGCAGGGGTCTGCGTGAAAGTACACCCCCAAGTGTGTGGACGAACAAGGTAACGTCAATGAACGGCAGCGCACATTTCGTGAGAAGCTTTCTTTTACGGAGATGGTCGCTACCACGGGGTGATTTCAGGGCTGCTTCCTTATCCTGCTTTTACCCGAATAGTCCGGAAATTAGCATATGTTTGGGTGGCAGGATTTTTATTTTTTTACAATATTGAGATCTGGTGGTATTGTGTCGAACTGCATGATGGTATACTGTACAGTTGTTCTGGAGCTAGGCTGAGAGGTGCGTCTGGGATTGGTCCATACGAAAGGTTCCAAATGGGACACTTTTATTCACGACTTAACTCAATTCTAAGAAAGCAATTGATGGGAGTGAGAAAATCAAAATGAACCCCAAGTGTGTGGCGGCCCCAAATCCCAGGACAAATAACCCGGGCACAGTCCAATGCTTTGCGTCCGTGCGAAATCAAGAGGCGCCCTGGATCTGCGAATCTCGTACTTTTTAAATCATTTATATTAAGTTCACTTGCTTGCACGACCGTGCAAATCTATCGGTCGTTTTTTAACCCACTTCCCGTGATCCAATCGAGCTGACATTTTGCACACAGACTCGTTGTGCGTGACAATTTATTTTCGTGAAAACATTTTTCCCAAAATTTTCCACTTTTTAGGAAAAAAAATGTTTTCATATTTAATTTAAAATACCAATGTGATAAAAATGAAACTCTTACTCAAGAAAAACAGAAATAAATAATAAAATAAAACCGATGCCACGCATATAAAGGATTTATAGTGAAAAACTTTGTTTTTACGGATTAATTTTTTATTGTAACGCAATGTGCACGTCACACACTGTCACATCTACAGGCGAACACGCACAATCGTACAAGCTCACACAACGGCGGCTTGCAGAGCCAGGCAGCGCGCACGCACGCACGCCCTCCCGCCCGGGTGGATGCACATCGACTATAGGAGACACACGAGGTTATAACGAGGAATCCACTCACACACTACGCAACAGAAAAATATATATACCGTGTATGTGTGAGATATATATATATATGTATATGTGTGTACGTGTACTGTTTATCCATATCTCGGTGTACTGCACAGGGCAAGCATGCTTTGTTTACGCCTAAAAACAATGAATCACTTTGCTTCACCGTCCAGATGTGCAATGTCCAGTACACCCGAGTCAATTACTAACACGGAGACAGATTTATTTATTCCTTGATATATGGTTGCTGGCCGCACTGATATCAATATGCTTTTGACAGTTTAAAAGACATCCCTCCCGTTCCGAACGCGTAACTTTTGCAGGTCCTACCACGCAAATCCCACTACTCGGTCACATTTATAATGACGAGAGAAGCAGCGAGGTGGCCGACAGACGATGGCAATGGACACGGTCGCAATTGTGACGACCACAGGCCACTCATGCACTGGCAACAGCGACGACGACGATGATGATGATGATGATGTTAAAATGTGTTACTGAACAGCGGCGATCAGATCCGTGACAATCAATCAAATTGCAACTGCTTGCTAAACCAGAGCATGGAGTAAGTGACGGGTGGTGCTAACGAATGACGATGACGACACACATGAAAGTTCCGCTACAAAGTGCATACAGCAACGTAAGTTAAGGCAAGCGTCAGAAAATGTGTCGTGGAAAAAAACGAATGCGTAAGGTCGAACAGTGCAAAACAATATAAACAACATTTCATTGAGACCTCACCCGAAAGTCTGCACCAGGTAGTAACATCAACTTCTGTAAATTCTAGGAAGATTCCTTTCAATTGCAGTCTATGTTGAACCAACTCGCAAGTGTCTGTAACCGTGGGCTTGCACACAGTACAATATACGAATGCGAGCATGCATGCGTAACACGGAAACTCAAAGCGTTCTCACTTTGGTAAATCAACAACACTTGCGTGTTCCCGTCAAAGAAACAGGCCCTTTCTCATTGCCTGTCTGCGGATTATAACGACGCTTTAGAACAAAGACAGATCAACACAGGAGGTAAGCTCATCTGATTGGCAGATTTTGGTTATTTTTTCTAATTCTTGGACTCAAACCTCAACACATGTCCAAAAATAGCAACTGATCATTTAAAAAAAACTATAGCGCCCGATGATAATTTATGTTGACAAGGTATATTATTGTACTGATAACTTTGCATAATTATCTGACACAAATGTTCGCATTTTGTTTTTTAAAAGACATTTTTAATCTAAGTGCTCCCATAGACCTAAATGTAATTTTATAATTACTCGCATTTAACACCTACGAGCCTTGCAAATCAGATGCCTTACAAAGCACGCGAGCTGCATGTCGATGCAGAATGTGGCACAAATCCAATCACACAGAGCGATAGAGAGAGAGAGAGAAAGTGGAGACGTCCTCCAGTTGATGCCGTGGCCGGTCGCTCCGCCATTCCCGTGCCGACGGGAGCGAAGATTTTAAAAGAAGCGAATCCGCGACTGTTCAGCGTTGTCCTCTGGATTCACCCCCCTCCCCACACACACCCTCGTTCACATGCAGCCACCGGCTTGGGACGAGTCCCCCTCCTGTCGTCAGAGTCTGACTCTCGGTCAGGAGATCACCGTCGGGGTACGGGATGCGAGCGAGGGCTTCTTTATTGGACACTTAACTACTTACTCGGCTACAAAGACGGTAGACGTCCCGCCGACAGTTTATCATGTTTTTGCCGTTCTGATCCGTGGCAGTGCCAGTCGGCAGTTAGGAATAATAGCGGGTAATTAGGAATGGTCATATTAGCGGTGCTCAAGGAGGTTATAGGGGTCAACACGAACACAAACGCGGCTCTACAATGGCCACGAGGCTGACCTTTGGTCACAGCGGGCGGGGGGGGGGGGAGAGGCGTGTGGCGGGGGGGGGGGCATGCAGTGAAATGTAGAGGGCAGTGGCTGCATTAAAGCTTTACAAAGGTGCAGTGCACAACGGGGGATGTGTACAATGTGGGCTGCCACCGTCTCCTGTTCACCTGTCCAAGAAGAAAAATCACTGAACCGTCTGGTGTGGAAAAGTCAGGTCAAGTGTGTAAGTCGAGTGTGTAAGTCAGGTCAAGTGTGTAAGTCATATCACGTAAGACAAATCAGTTTCCCTGCTCAAATGAGCAATGGGATGGCACTCGTTTCTTTTGGCGGCTCCGCGTCAATGGTAAACAAAATTTCACTTTTCCACGGCAAAGGGCAGTCCCTCCAAAGGATTAACCGCTGTTGAGTTCCCTAAAAAAATTGGTGATAATTTTGATCAACCCTGGAGAGGGGGTGAGAGAATGAGCTGGTCCCCAAAAACTGGCACTTGGGCTCTCGCAAAGCTGTCCCTTAGCGAGGAGTCCAGGACTCTACCCACGCGTCTCTGTGCTGTACAATACGTAGAGACTCCTCTACTTACGAACATTCGACGTATGAACTTTCAGAGATACGAACGAGATACGAACAAACCTGTCTGTATGTCCAGTTGCTTGTTCGGACCGAGAGTCGTAAGTTCAACCGCCGTGCAATAGATGGCGGTGGTGGCATCTACATCTGCGGAACATGAAGAACCAGTGGCATCTACATCTACGGGAGATCATACAACTTTTAAAGCCGTTCCCTGTGTTTAGTGTACATGCCGTACAACATGTTTGGAATCGACAGAAGTTTGACATACGAACAGACCCCTGCAATCTAACTTGTTCGTAAGTAGAGGAATCTCTATACAAATGATTACTTGGCTAGACAATTGGGAAAGCTGATTTTAACAGCCAGCATGTGTGAAGGGGATACCAGAATTATAAAAATTTCTTTCATACAGTGTGCCCAACTGTAAATAATCATACGGCCAATCGCAGGCAGTACAGCAATGAGGTTTCTGTTCCAGCCGTTTCGAGTTTGAGTATTCGCCGCTCGTATCCGTCAGTCATCCCAGAACCAGTTCATCCTCAAAATGAGTCCTGAGACTTTCGTTATCTTACTCGGCTGTCGAGTAACATAAAGAAAATATGGTTGTGGGGGGATGCATTTAGTTTTATATGTTGCTCAGGGCACAGTGACCCAAAGGTTGGCCCTTTAAAATGAGGTTTACCATTGAAAGATAAACACAGTGTTTTAACATTGAGATGAGTCTTTTTTGGACTTGATATCTTACTGCTGTCGGTGATAAGGACACATTTCTTACAAAAAACAATCTCTCTGGACAACAACAACTTCAAGGCAAACAATGTATTTCCAAAATGCAACCGCAGCACATGTAAATATAAATAACGCAATGATTAAGTTAATAAATCATACCATTTTTTTTTACGATAGAAAATATAAAGTGTGTTTGAACACTGAAGTATTGTGAAAAAGCCCGTCATCTGAAATGGTCCATTATGATGGAACACTTGTTGCCAAGCAACAAAAATATGAAAAAAACTGTCACCGTAAAAGTCACCAAGTGAACTAAATAATGCAAACGCAGCTCATAAATAATTCACAAATAAATGAGCCTATGAGTCAGCAATGGAAATAAATCCCCATTGGCACATTTTTGCCACGTGTGTTCTAAATCCTCGAGGATTCAAGCAGTATACGACACACATCTTGTAAATCCGTTGTCACAGCTGGCCATGAGCTGGGACACTTCGACACTTCACGCTTGCGCAAGCATCTGAGCGGATATGGCCTCTGCACAGCTGATGGGCGGGAGCATCAATGCCAAAAGCCATGCGCTGTACATTGACCGTGAACACTGGCCCACACGCCACGATGATGACGACGGATGTCCCGTGCTGTTTTCCTCTAAGCATGATGGCAAGAGTGAGACACTAACACGCTCACGACAACGGATACATATATATTTACGCTGTGTTTTATACTGGCCCGTTCGGCGCTTCCTCCCCGTTCCCCCTTGGGCTTTATCTCGTTAGCACAGATTTGTAAATGCCGATTGAAGTATTACTGGTAGAGAGCGCAACGCCGATACGTAAGGTTGTCGGGGCAATAACGGCATCAAAGGGAGATAAAGGAGAGAAACAGCCCAGTGCATATGAACCGAGGAGACAACCGGCAGCCGTTGAACATGATGGGTTTACTTAATAATGTAAATTCATTGACTTAAGCTTTCATTTGTATTTTATTTATTATCATTATCACCGCATCATTATCACCACAGATCATCGGAGTAGGACTCAAATGGGAGCTTTGCAGGGAGGACCCCAGGGGAACACCTTCTGGCAGTTTCCACCGAGGCACACTGAGGGCAGAGAGAGAGAGAACACACACACGTAAGCATGCGCACATGTCCCTGTGTAGCCTGCACAGGCTGCTAGGGCAAGTGCTGTTAGCGAGCACATATTAAAGCCTGCACTTTGCACAAGATGATTTGGCTCGCGCCATTCTCGGCTGCATGTCTCCCGAATGCTGATTTTCACACAGTGCGCCAGCTACTCTTTAAAGGCTGAATTAACCTAAGGGAGGCCCAGATAGCACTTCGCACTGATGTTAGCCGTGACCGGGAATTGAACTCGGTTCGTTTGGTTCATAGTGCAGCATGCGAAACACTGCGTCACCACTCCCCACACACTTTCACACATCGCGTGCACAAAAATATGCGCACACGTACACACAAATGTTTGCACATACGTACATGCAAGCGCGGCATTAGTGCACACATACGTATGTACACAGAACACGTACACATGCGTATACAGATGCGCAAATGCACACACATACACATATCCATACATAGGCACACATGTGCACACAAATGCTTGTACGCACATACATACATATCCACACTTGCACAGTCCCATGTACACACATGCAACACATACGTACAGGATGACTGCACAATACAAGCACGCGTAGTCTTCTTTAGATTAATTTCCCAAAGGTCGCCTAGTCAACCACAGCTTAATGAGCACACTCACACATTTGTTTGCACTACCCCAGAATGTGTAACTTGTTGCACAATGGCATGAAAACCCCAAATAATATAAATTCAGAGCACAGCCTCACTCGATGAATCATTCCATTGTCATCGCAGATAAATATGAGAAAACCCGAAAACGCACGTTCTGGGAATTTCAATAAGCAGCTGAGAAATAAATGCGGTGACATAACACGTTTGACTTGCGATCAATTATTTGTGATCTCAAAGGGATTTTTTTTGCAACACCGAATTCATTTCCATCTCGTGAAACTAGGACAGATAATTGGCAGTTTAAATTCACCATGGGAACCTCATTTGCCAGTAAAAATATGATAATTGGTTTTTTACCCTTCTATCTGGCAACAAAACTGACACCTTTTTACAAGGAGTCATGTTTGTATAGACCACAATACCTGCAATCATAATGCAAACAAAAAACATAACTCTGATAATGTATGCACTGTCCATGAAGTTGATTGGTCCACACCCGAGACAGCTTTCCTTAGAGCCTAGTCTCACATGGGTTGGACCAGATGACGCCAAAAGGCGCCTTTTGGCGTCATCTGGTCCAACCCATGTGAGACTAGGCTTTAAGGAAAGCTGTCTCGGGTGTGGACCAATCAACTTCAAGGACAGTGCATACAGAGTTATGTTTTTTGTTTGCATTATGACTGCAGGTATTGTGGTCTATGCAAACATGACTCTTTGTAAAAAGGTGTCAGTTTTGTTTCCAGATAGAAGGGTAAAAAAACAATTATCAGTTTAAATTCATTCATTTATTCATTCCTGCCACCCCTAACTGCATTGTGCCCTCACTACCGAACAGAAGCCGGAGAACGTGCGCTTCCTACATTGGTTTGAACGTACTCTGAAGTGATGGCGAAGTGGTGAGCACACTGTGCTAGGAGCCCGGTCACCCCATTTTCCCCCACCCTCATTTCACAAACCCACATAGACCAGCGTGGTGAAGTACGGTCAAACAAACCCGCCACCCCCCCCTCCCCCCTCTCTTGGCCAACGCAGATTAAGTAGACCTTCATCCACCAGTGGGTTTTTTTCTACAGAGGGCTGAACTTTGTTATTTTATTATACCAAGGGAAAGCCTTAGTGAAATTCATAAAAGTGCAATATCCATTGCTAAACAGTGCTCGTCACAAAAACGTCTCCAATGGGAAACTATGCGTTCGATCGTTCTGCCGCCATTTGCAGTTTTGTAATCTTGCGCGCAGGGAACCGGAGTACCATAAAACGCTTGCAGTGGCCATTTTCGGCCAAGTCACGTGCAGTATATTTTTTCAGGTAATTGTGATTGTCAGCGGCAGCAAGAAGAGACGGTCAATTGATCCGGTGTAACAGTCTGCTGTGCTTGAGCACATTACGAGATTGCCTCGTGGTGGTGCGAGATAGGGAAGCGGCGGGGGTGGTTTAATGTTGCAGGCCACACATAGCTTCATAGCTCTGCGCGCTGGCTTCTTGACTGAGTAAATTCGCGTGCATACCATGATATAACTATGATTTTGTCCTCACAAAACAACCTAAAGAAACCCCAACGTCTACAAAACCACATCACACGCACTGTCCTCACCTCCCCACAACCGCGGCTGACCTCCGACCTTGCTCTCCGGGCCCTCCCCTAGCTCGCAATCCCCATCAGAATCACCTTCAAAATCGCCTGCCTCTGTTACACAGCCTACAACAGGGGTCCCCAACCTCCGAAGCCGCGGACCGGAACCAGTCCGTGGCCTGTTAGGAACCGAGGCCGCACAGCAGGAGGCGAGCGGTGAGTCCGCGCGTGGCCCGCCCCCATTATTTTATTCACCACTTCTGTCCACGCCTCTTTCCCACACTGCGCACTTGTCTCAGTCACAGTGTTGGTGAGCCCACAAGCTGCTAACCCCTCGTAGCCAGAATGAGTAAAAAACAAACGTCGCTGGAGAGCTTCTTTGAAAAGGGGGAAAGACCCAATGACTCTTCACCTACCTTTGAGCGCCTTCTCAAAGCAACATCTTTTTATTTGACTTTTACTGAGCGGATCTCTGAGCCGGGCTCCGCGCCTCAGGGTCGCTACCTTCAGGCAAATGAAAACTGTGCGCGTTACAAATGAGCATTATTAGAATTTACTACCTGCCAATTTCATTTTTTTATTGGGTGTCACCAGGCACGAAATTGTCCATGAACTGTTTAAAATGTAGGGGATGGAGGGAGACGATCTGTCTGGGCCCAGACTGCATGTAGGAGAACGTTACGACGTCCAATTGTTCCTCAAGCTCTGTTTCTCTACTTGCCCCCTTACACTGGAACAAACTTCCCCTCCACATTAAGCAAGCGCCCTCCCTGTCGAGTCTCCGCTCCTCCCTCCCTCAAGACCCACCTCTTCTGCCTGGCCCATATTTCCCTCCATCTCTAGGCACCGCCGTAATTCCAGTACCCACTAACAGCCTGCCCTATACCCCATCCCTATTCACCATATCACTTTTAGTTACCCTCATTGTAATAACCCTTGTAAAGTGCCTTGGATAAAAACGCTATATAAATATAAGATAGGAATACATTCCATTCCTTGGCCACCACTCCCTTGTTATTCTTGACCCATCGACCATCGACCCCTTCTCGTCATGATGTGCCTTGCCCAAGCCCACTGATTTTTCCTACTAGTTCAGGTCGTCCCACTAAATTGCATGCATTCTCTTTTCCATGATTTCCTCTTTCTGTCCCTCAATTTGATGACGAGAACTCATCTCTCCGTGATATTTTTGTGCAATTTATAGTTTTTGTTCTATACATTTTCCTGAACAACCGTGGGTCTAAACCCAAGATTCTTCATCTTTATTTTCTTTATTCGTGGGTTAGACTACGTAAATGATCTGGCCATATTTGTGTTATAAGACCCTCTATCACCCCGGGATCACCAACTTACCTGAAAAAATGCTGCTGCTCTCCTTTGAGCCGTTGAGGGGGATCTTTTCAGGCAACTTCCCATTGGCTCCGGGGATCTTGAAGAGCGTTGGGTCGTTGCTGTGAGGAGGGCAGAAGTCGGCGTGGACTTTGGGCTGCACGTTGAGAGACGTGCCCAACACTTTCTCCTTTGCCAACCCCATGCCCAAGGGCTGCTGGGACAGACAGCCATTGCCTAAGACTGGGCCCACCTTGGGGCCAACCTCGTTCTCCTCCTCCACCACGGGCCGCTCAGCCACCGCCTCGGGCGATCGAGCCACGAACCTGCGCCCGCCCGCCATCTCGGAAATGTCGTCGCCCGATGCCGTCGTGTCTTGGAACCGCGCCCCGAGCTTCACGTAGTTACCGGCTTCTCCCGGGAAGTGTGGCCCCGGCGGCTTGGGCGGGCGAACCCGGCCCACGGCGACAATCGGCACGGCGGAGGCCCGGTCCTCGAGAGCCGCAACCCCGCGAGATGGCGTGGCTGCATCGCCATCGCTCGTCGTCGCTTCCACGGCCCTTTCTGGTGCGACGGAGGAGTCGGGCTCGACCAGGATCTTGTCAAACTCGGTGAGGCCGTGGCCCGCAGCCTTGTCGCTCACGTACTGCTCGTAGTCTTCGAAGGTCTCGTTGGACAGGTCGACCCACTCGTCGTCGTCTTCCGAGTGAACAAGGTCCAGCAGCAGCCGCCCTGATTTCCCGCCGCCGTTGGTCAGCTCCTGGTGGAGCATGTTGACCGTCACATTGATCTTGCATGGCTCCACGGTCATTGTGGGGAGGTCGTCCTCGTCACGAGCCGTCGACTCGTCCGAGGAAGACGCGTCCTCCGTCATGTCCTGCTTCATGCTCAGCTCCTTCTCGCAGCAGTCCTTCTCCCACTTGTTCTGCGGTGACTTGCGGCCTTCCTTGTCCCTCTCCCCAAAGCTCTCGGCCCTCTTCAGCATGCTGTTCGAGTTGTCCTTCATGGTCTTCTCCGGGCCAGGATTTTCGCAGAGCACGTACTGCACAAGGCGTTCCTCGCACACGATCTGGGGGCTCGGGATCTCCTGCGAGGGGCTCCTGGGCTTGCGTCTCACCATGATCTCATTGCTCGCGATCTCTGCCAGGCACAGCCCCTCCCTTTTTCCACTGCCTTGTGCGTTCGGCTTCACAATCAGCGTTGCCTGACAGAAGATGTCATCCTCGTCGTCATCAGAATCGTCTTCATCGTCGTCTTCGTCATCGTCGCTCATTTGCTCCTTTTCCTCAGCCTCCTTCTCCTTTTCACAGGCCTCCGTGTCAGGATCATCGCGCTGCGTGTCGCACTCATCCATGTCCTCTTCCGCCGCCTCCTCACATGCCTCCTCCCGCTCATACATGTCATCATCGTCATCGTCGTCTTCATCCTCCTCATCATCCTCGTCCTCCGTTTTCATCTTGTCCTCCCTGCAGTCCATTTCTTCGCAGTCTTCTGCATCCTTAGCCTCTGCCTCGGGGACACTCTCGTCCGTTTCGGAATCAGCGTGGACTTCAGACACGACGCGAGCCAGTGGTGGAACAGAGTCAAGACTCCCAGCCTCCTCCACAAGGACCCCAGCCTCCATCTCCTCAACAGCCTCAGCGATTTTCACGCCACGAACTTCCTCTCCCCGCACCTCCTCTCCACAAGCCTCCTTCATGTCGGCTGCATCGTCATTGACTTCAGCATCATCGACATGTGTTTCAGGGGCGATCTCTTGGATCCGATCTTGATCCGACTTCACCTCTGGGCCTTGCTCTGGCTTCACCTTGAGGTCATCCGCCACGCTGGCTGCGACAGGCTTGCTCGTGAGTTTTTTGGCAGGCTTTGGGGGTAAGGAGCTCGTTGAGGACACCTTCGGGGAAGGTTGCGAAGATTTCTTGATCTTCATGGAGCTGGCTTTGTCTTTGGTTGATTTTCCAGCAGCTTTGGAAGGGGCTGGGGAGGACGATGGCTGTTTCTTGATGGATGGTTTAATCTCGCTCTTGGAGGATGGTGTTTTGCTCACAGAGGACTTCCTTTGATTGCCCTCGAGGGCGACGGCTCCCGAAGTGTCAGCTGTTGAAAAACAGGGGAATTTATAACTGTAAAATAATAAAATCGCAAAGCATAGCACAATAATGTAAACAATAGTAATCTGCGTTTGTGCATGGTGTTTGCTTTGGATTGACCTCGTGCGACTCCTAAACCCCGTCAATCCGGTTGCATTTGATCAGAGGTCGGCAACCTGCAGCTACGGAGCCGCATGCGGCTCTTTAAGGGACTGCTCCATGACGTTATGTATTAAGGACCACCGTCCCGTATTCACAACTTGCATCCGCGGTCTCTTGAAATATTGAGATATTTATGTTACCGAATTCGAAGAAAAAAATGGCTCTTCTTGTTATTTTGGTTGCCAAGCCCTTGCATTAGGCTTTTGCGGCCTACTGGTTTGGGAACCAGGGCCCTTCTAAGGGGGGGGGGGGGTTGCGTGCAGTTCTCTGAAAGGCCGGAGACATCACTGGAGAGATGGCCATCAGAGTGGTGCAAGTAGTGGCTGTCACCAGACTCGGTAATGCCTAAATGTACAACGTCAAGGGTTCGAGTTTTGATCTTCTCTAGTCCGTGTGCTCCGGTTGATGTTCAAATGTTTCCGTTTTTCCTGTATTCGCTTGCAGAAGTGTTGCATCTGCGGGAACCCTTTGTCATTCATTGCATGGTGCTGGGCCTGCTAATTACGGAGAGCTCGGAGCCTGCCACGTTGGCTCATGAAGAGGGGTTTTTGTTCGAGGGATATAGAAAAATTACGCTAGTATTTTCCTCTTTTTGTAATGTTTTAATTTTGGTGAACTGGTATGAATTATTTTTCCAGCGGATTACAAAGTGTATTATCCTGTTGTGGATATAATTTTCGTGCAACGTGATGAGGGTTGCAGTCCGTGTAGCTCGAGAAAGAACGATTGGTGTTGGTCAGCCCAAGCATCACCAGGAGTGGGGCCCCTTTAATAGCAGACCCATGGCCGGGGCCATATTATCACTGTCCTAGGGCCTACGAAAACTAAAAGGCCTACGCAAAAAAATGTTGACCATGTCTTTTTTTTTGTATGAATAAAACATGTAACCAAGATATCGTCTTGGATAAATATATTTATATAGCAAGGATAGGCACAGCGTTTCAAATTAAATCTGCTTATCTCCAGCACACAGCATGCTCCCATCGAATTCGGGCACAGACTAAATAATGCACGTATCAGCAGTAATGATATCTGTTCAGCGGCTGGACGAAGTACCGCGTGAAACAAGCGGAGTCACAGCGGCCACAGCAGTAACATGGGCAGCAGCAGCACAAACTGTAGAGTCATCACTGAAGGCCTATGAAACAGAAGTGCCCAGGGCCTACAAGAACCTTAATCTGGGGCTGCTTATGGCACCTGGATCCACCAATGAGCAGGAACCCTTCTTGGCCCATTTCTCGTCAGTCCTCTCTATCCTCAGTCGAGGTCGCTCCTTCACCACATCCAGTACCTCGGGCAACCTTCCAAATGCCTCATTTTAGATGACTCTTTTATTTATTTTTTAACTAAGCTATCGTGATGTGTTACGTTGTTGTTTTTTTCTTAGCATGTGGCGATCTGTTCAGGAGTAGAATGCCAATACTCTTTAGGTTTTTTTTGGTAAAGTCACGTAGATAAAAAATAAAATAAAAATAAATAAAATCACAGCAAAATTACTGTATTAAGTGGGGTAATTTTGCTGTGACGGTACCACCTGAAGACGAAACGTCGTGATTTAATTTATTTTTATTTTATTTTTTACCTACGTGACTTTACCGAAAAACCCAAAAAGTATGGACCCTTGCAGTCACGAAAACTTCAAATCTAGAATCAGAAAGCCAATGTCGAGGTCTGCTGGCCACGAGAGGGCACTTCAGGAGAGCTTTTGTGTAGTGTGCCTGTTTCTCCTTCTCCTCCATCGAAGGAGCGTAGACCGCAGAGGTTCACGATGTGGTCCACAGTGTGGGTTGCACGATCACAATCACACTACCGTGGCTTGTCTTTAATTTTACATTCATGACGGAGATGCGTTGGCCGGCCTGTTGATGTTCTGACGCGGATGATGGTTACACCATCAGTGTCTTTGAGGAGGGAGGAGGGAGGGCATAGGAGGAATGTCACAACCAGGAGGTGGCTGGGTGACGGTTGCTTTCTGGTGGCCAACCTGTGACGTTTCATCCTGTTTTTATAATACAGTACCTTAAATGCAATACGTCATCTAAGCGAAATGAACATTGTAAATTTGAATCCAGATGCGATCATTGTAACTAAATAGGTAAGGTATTTTTACATGCATGTATGTTTTCAGGATGAAGGTTGATTGTAACCAAATATATATGTGCATATATGAATGCTATAAAAACGTTAATGCAATACAATTGCATTGGCAGTATAAATAGATTGTTGTTAAATAAATTATTGAAAACAGGTGAAAGGAATTAGTGAAATTGCCCACGTGGAGAGTTTCAAGGAATATCCGTTGTATTAGTTACATGTGTGTCATGATATTGCAATGTGTGAATCATATGACACACATGCCCTTGAAATTAAGGTGTTCCATCTCAAGAAATTATTCCAGATTAAACAATTTGATTTTAATTAAAAACATGAAAAAAAAACGCGAGTAGTTATCTCTCTAGGGTCAATAAAATGAGTACCACTGTGGGAAATTAGGTAATTTCATAGAATGAGACCGTCACATGCAGAAGAGACTAATCTGGAATTTGAACTTGAATGGATTGAGGATTATCAGCAGTGTGAACAGAGGAATGGAATTCCAGACGTTGGGCGTGGCAGCAAAGGAGCGTTTCCTCGTCGTGTGAAGGTCGACATGAGGGTTTTGACAGGAGGCCTTTGCCTCCATTGCTGGAGTGGAAAGCAACGTGAAGCGGAGTAAATAAAGGTGGGTGAAGTAGACAGGGGTGAGTCCCTGGTCAAAGGTCACCTTTTCCGGGACGTCCCACAGTCTTATTCACCGAGAGACTCCGGGAGCCAATCATGGACGACGGCCGAGGCTTCGGATTGGATGAGGCCTCCGATGACGGGGGCGTCTCCATGACAGCAGAAGCCGGCCTTGGCTTCCTGGTCTTGACACTACACACACAAAATCACAATGAACAAGTCAAAGACGCTATGTATATCACTATTATTTCACTTGTACGCAGGCAAGCCTGACTGAGTCTTAAGATTATATGGCGGAGGCTCCTGCAAAGTTTTGAGTAATTGAGTAATTTTTCAAATTTGGCAACATTTGACCATGTCAGTGCACAATGGCTTCCGCATTTCAGAATGGTTTCATTGGATCCTTTATGTCCGCTGTGATGCAGATGGCGCATAGTATGCTATGGTTAATACACCGGTAGCGTTTGCCAGGGTGGCCTGCCAGATTCAGGCCATGAAGCTATGCAACGAGCAGCAAAACACGCTAATGCTGGGTCACATCACTTCCCCGAGAACAACAAGCATATTTGTGAGTGGACAAGTACGTTTTTATAATGTACGTTTTTTAGGTGTAAAAGGGTAATTTTCGATGCTATCGAAACGAATGAAGCCTTTAACGTGTATTTCATATACTCGCTTTATTGACCAAACCACTTAACGACCGGTTCCGTGCAACCAATTACCGTCATTAAGAGGGATTCTACTGTACTGTGCTTATTTTTTTCCCCCAGGAAGGCCTCAATGAGTTTCAAGACTCGTTTGCAGGAGGATCCTGCCAAGTTCATTTTTGGCAGGTGGTAAGATGTTGCTGCTGTCTGCGATCCGAAAAGAGTCATTTTGCTGTTCAAATTTGAGCAAAATTTGGCAAATCGTGGAACCAATTACCGTCGTTAAGAGGGATTATACTGTGTTGATATACCCAGAGACATCTGATGTATCTTGTGATGCTTTTTAAAAAAATTATGTTTGGTTCTCATACCTGCTGCTTTTCTTTGGGACTCCATCCTTCCCCGCGGATGAAGCATCCTTCACCGAAGACTTCTTGCCTGCTAAATTACCACGAACATATTAAAATACGTTCACGTCACTCATGCATAGCAAAGCAGTTTAGATAAAAATTACGCTGGAATAAAATCATTATCTCGCATTCAACTGCATGACAACGAACACACAATCCAGGTCCTGAATACCCATTAAACAAAAGCATTAAATGTGGAATTGTATGTGTTTTTTTACGTGGCTATTTAATATTTAGAGCCAGATGTGCATATTTAACGACAATATTGTTACATTAAACGTGATTATGATTTAAACATATTTTTGTAAATTAAGGCCCACTTTACCTTGGCTGGCCACTGAGGGCTGGTGAAGATTTGGGTGGGCACCCAGGATAGGTTCTGATACCATTCGGAATTGCTGTTCGCTTTGGCCAGGAATCAAACTGAGATAACTAGGTTTAACGGTGCAGGGCACCAAACACAATTCCACTTCCCCTCAACATCAAATCAAACCATGAAACGTGTATCGCCTACTTCACTTTCCAATGATTTTCTTTAGAAGATATTGATTGCTTTAAAGAGCTTCACCTCTCACCCGCTCGCATGTAATGTCCACTTGTAAATGTAAATTGTCATCTCGGACAATGCTGCACGTTACCATCACCCTTACTACCATCATATTAACCATCACCACCAACATCACCATTGTCGCCGTCATTATTTTAATTACCGTCATCCACTCCAGAACCACAAATATGGCTTTCACCACAATCACCACTCTTTGCACCATTGTTCACCTTATCATCGTCTTAACAACGCCACAATATCAATATCTCTGACCACTGGCATCCTCTCCATCATAACTACCGTGACCCTTACCACCACCACGTCCACCACACCCTTACCATTATCAGCACCACGGCCCTTACCATGAATCATCACCACAATCACCACCACTCTCGTTATTACCGCCACCTCCTCTTACCGGTGTCCACTCCGCTCTCGCCGCCGACGTGTGGGGCCTGTCCGTCCACCTGGCCTCTGCTACCCCCGAGCGACATGGATGCTGGCCTGGCCTTGACGGAGGTCCCCTTTGCTGGCCCAGACGTCTTACCGGTGCGACTCTGGCTGCTGGCGGAGGATGACCGGCTCAAGCTCGCCTTGCTTGCCACCTTCCCGGCGTTTGCCAGGGTCCCCGATTTGGGCTTGGCTCCGCCAGGGAGAGCCGTAGATTCCGCTGTCTCCATGGCGGTCACGCTCTTGCGCTGGGCCCTACCAACCCCGGACACCGGTTGCTCCGTGACGATGTCAGGCTTCATGGCCTTTCCTCACCAAGCCCTGCACAAGCACGTGGCCCAAAAGGTCAATTCAATCTCTTGTCGCCATTTTATTCCGTCGAACGTAATTTCCTCCTCAGAGGTTTTTTTTGGGTTAGATCGTGTAAATATAAAAAATCGCGTAAATATATAAAAATATCTACACGATATAACCCATGAAAGCCCTCTATTATGGATAATATTGGTTAATCAGCATCGGGGCGTTGCTCATCTGTTCAGTCCTAAGCCAGTGGTGACATTAAGTGTTTCTATTGCAGAGGTGAGCCAATTTTCGACTGTTTCCCCCCCCCCCCCCCATTTTTGACAATTACCACTTTTCACAGTTTTATAACTTTTAGACATTATATTTAGTTTTTCACAACACATACATGCATACTCGTTGGTTCTTTCGGCAAAGTCACGTAGGTATAAAATAAAATAAATGAAATCACGACATTTCGATTGCAACACAAGCAATCATCATCAGGTGGGAAACCCACAGCACGAAAACCTCAAACACATCAACGACCACCGTGACTACGACGTCGAGTCAAGGGAGGTGGGTGTCACTGGAGAGCCAGGCGAGAGACCTGGTGGTGGGTGGGAGGGGAGACGCCTTTAGGATGTCAAGAGAAGAGCGGACGAGGAAGGGAAGGGAGAGGCAGAGAAAACGGCCGAGGACAAAACCGAAAGAGAGAGGGAGCAGAGCAAGGATGGCAAGCCGGCTCGCGTGGCGCCCCCTGGCGACCACTTCGTGGAAGCCAAATTGTGTAGCCTTGACTTGTTTATTTTCTGTGAACATTTTTTTTTATTTGAACATTACAGTCGATGCATTATGCATACTAAAATGCGGCTCTCTGGCAATGCCCTGTTGGGCGAAAGCCTAATCACACATTTTAGTCATGTAAGTTTCTGAAAACATGCAGGAGATATTTCTGGGGTGGAGGGAGCACGGATTTTCAAAAACGCCGGATAATCACTAAGGGGCCGTCCATAAATGACGTCACGCGATTTTTGACGATTTTTGACCCCCCCCCCCTCGTCACACATCGTCACAAATGTCTGACCCCCCCCCCACCCTCCTAGGTGCGTGACGTAATTTATGGACGGCCCTTAACCATCATTATTTAAAATAGCTTATTTTTGCACATTCTTGCATTAAATTACATGTTTAGATGTTGTTTAATGCTTTTTCTAGCGCTGCTCTTTGTCCACGTTCTGTTGGATGAAGGCCTCGTCACACATTTCAGTCATTGAAGGTTTGCTTGAACACACTTCAGTGCTGGTTAGGTGCCGGTTTCGTTCCCGGGACCAGGTCAAGTGCCCACTCGCCACTGACCGAGGCATCTGGGCTCACAGCGATGCTGCGCGCTTCACCGCTGTGTGTGTGCTGTGTCTCACTGAAGCCGAACACACTCGGTGTGTCACTCAACTCGAGCAGGAGAGAGTCGGGGGGCATGGCGATGGTGAGATTTGGGAGGTGTGGTGCACAGAGCACGTGTTAATCAGGAACTCAACTGCAAGAGGGCCAGCAGACGGCAGTATAGGGACTAGGTGTTGACCCCTCTGCAGATGTTTTGAGCATTCTCTCTGGTTTCCATGATCGTTCTGCAGCTACTTCTCACCGACTTCCTCCAAATGTGCACATCGTTAGCGTTGAAATCGCCAAACATCACAATCCAGAACTTTTAAAATAAAGAAGGCTTGACACCCGGTGATGTTTTTTTTAGACAAAGGACATTGTTATTACTACTCCAATCAATGGCGGAGTGATTGTAGGTGGAGTTCATGTCGAAAGGTGCGACATCAACCAACCACGTCTGTCTGTCCGAGCTGCTATGGAGTTCAACGTCTGGCAGCTGCTGAAAATGGTGAACATTTCATTACGGTTACAAGAAAAATGTTGTGTGGGGGACAAAAAATATGGGTTATTGTGTCTCAGACACATTCTGGTCAGCTGCCAAATAAATGATTGCAGCAACGTGACATCCTCTGCGGCATTGCAGTTGTGTGTGATTTTACGTTATCTTGATATATGGAAGTCACCGCGAGCATCGTTGCTCTTAATCTATGATTGGTACATTTTTTTTGGAGGGATTTCGCGTTGTCACAATGTGTAATCGACACAATGCAGCTCGTACAAGCAGATGTGATATATTTCAATTGCTGCTGGAAAATCAGTTTTTTTTACATACCGTACGTTTTTGGGGTTCATACAGCTACATGTAGTAATCAAACATACATTTCTTTGAATCTGTATTATTACACGTTTTTATTTGACAGATAATTGAAAACACGTGTGTTTTTTTTGTTTCAGCCAATATTAAGATTCATAATACATGTCGGGCTCTACCATTGTCATGCTCAGAGCATAATTTATTTAGCAAGACTCTCCACGACCCGACATTCATATTTGGCTGGTTAAACGATTGCCCACGTGACACGGTTTGGCTGTCGGGTGGCGGAGGGCCTTGCAAGATAAATCTGGCCAGATCATGACATGATCCAATCCAAAAATCTGTCATGAATTCTGTGGATTAATGGATTTAAACGTAAAGAGACTGTCTGCCAGGCCAGTCAGGACCACAAATAGAGATGCACACCATCCCACGCCCGTTTGAGCCAGGATAAAGCTGTGACTTGACGTTTATTTAAAACACCGCTGGCCGACATTGAGAATGTTGCCGTAACGGAGAGGATCTGTTTTCCTTTACGAGCTTCGTTTGGAGAAATTAAAGGACGTGCCTTCAGTGCTCAATGCAGTAATGCTCCTGCTTATGAACGTCCATTCCCGATAGGTTGGCAGCGTCCATTGCCATAGCCCCTGGCAATTGGCGCGGTGGGGCAGGAAAACTCGCTGGAGGCAAATCTGATGGCGCACGCAGCGCATGAGCAATCCAGCTCCAGAAATCCACCTCGCGTTTTGGTACGAGCGCTGACGAGCCAGCAACACTGCAGTGTCTGCAGCACAGCACCCACAACCATGCAACCTCGCACGCCCCCTTCTCTTCCCCACTGCAATACACGCCCCACCACCCTACACCCCAAAATGTGGTGTGGACGGTCTGCGATGGTACAGCCCGTACACAGTAAACATCCATCATCAAATGGCACTTGCACCCACACATCGACATCACCGAGTCCCTCCTGCCAGCACCCATTGATCATGTCCGTGGTGGCGTGTTCCAAATCTGCGGCACAATTTCAAAACCCTCCGGGGCATTTATGTGGCCCATTACAACAGCTATAAATAACGGAAAGATACATAAAGGCTTGCATGGGATGAATTTTGAACAGTATTTTTCATGAAATCCCACGCTTAAAATTCAGACAAATCAAAATACGAAATAAAATCTGAAAATCGCCCATGATGAAGTTAACGCCAGTGGCATTTACTTCAATGTGAAGCGTATACAATTGTGTACATGACCAGATCACAATTCTCTTCATGCTACCTGGAATGAATTGAAGCTGCGCAGGAAATGGCGCTGACCCACATACCGAATGACTCACGCCGACATTTAATGTCGATCCAGGCGCGGCAATGACACTTGCACACCCGGCATCCACGCAAACCCCCCAACTGCATGTACCACAGGGCATGAGATTGATTTCATATATGAGCGCATCCATTAATAACAAAGGCCAGTATATTGTCTGTGTGTGAGCACAATGTGAGGGCGGACCGTTAGAAAACCGCACCCACACATTTACGCACACAGATGTACGACTCAAAAAAGCTATTAACAACCGATTCACTCGCCTATACGCATACTCAAATAAATGCATGCGTGCGATGGAATACAATCACATGCAACACACGCGCACCAAACCCCACCCAATATCTGCATCCACTGCCTCGCATACACGAACACACAAACCTGCATACACACATCCACAATCAATAATACATCGACACACAACGAATTATAATGGTATTCAACAACATGCATACCACCCTGCCCTGCAATGAGCCTCTCAAACTCACCCACACAGAAGAAAAAAAAAAGCTCCAACAGCGCACATTCGCATTCAAATCGAGCACACGCCAACAAAATGATAACCCCACGCAGAGCCACGTTCAACCCGTTCACGGACACCGAAAACCACGCACCCACGCGTCCACATTCCCGGACAACCCCACCCGCATCATCGATGCGTCTATATTATGAGCATCTCGCGCTCGCGCGCCTAACATTGTGCGCGGAAGCGAACGCTCTTCACATTTTTCATCGCACGTCTAAGAAAACCCACACCCAAAACCTCAGAAATCTCACCGAAGAAAATACACACCGTTGTTAATTTTTGAAATTTGTGATTTTTTTTAATCTCTCCTGATAATGCTAAGCTATGCCCTTCAAGAGAAATTCATTATCCGTTAATGGGCAGATAAAAATGGTCCACCTTCCACACAGAGACAACAAAAAAACGCCATATTCCACTTTTTTTTTTACCTTGCCGCATTTCTCCGCATTTCTCCATCAAACACACAAAGCGTGCCATTATTAACATGACCTTTCCCACGGGCGAGCTTGACGACCGCATTTTACATTCTGGTTCCACGTGAATACCGGATTCGCAGTTTTTTCGCAATAATTACCACCGGCGCGTGGACAATTCCAGACGACCCTCTCCGCGTGCT